GTTTCTCTTGGTCACGCTCATGCAGACGAAGGTTGGTTAGTGTAGCACGCAGGTGAGGGAGATGTGATGCTGCAGCTACACAGGTCCTCTGTCCGCTGCAGAGACATGTGATTGGCTCTAAAAGGAGTAGATCGGAAATCAGCCGATTTTGATCGGTGGCCGATCTATCGATTGTGTGTGTGTGTGTGTGTGCGTTGGTGAATGTGTATTAGAAGGACAATTTGTAGGAATACACGCAACACTAGAGAGACATTTTGAATTAACAGGGCAAGGACGGTGTCCTGCTAATTTTGAGAAAATTCTAAAAACGTAGAAGTGTTTCTATTGGTCCACTAACCCCCCAAAAACGAGGATGACCGTTTAATACACATAAACCTGATTTTGTGTATAATCTGTGTGTCATCCACAGCGCCCCAAGTGGTTGGTTATGTAATAGCAGGACCTCATGAATATTCACACAGATCATCACTGATTGGTTGATTCCAATACACACACACACAGTCCTTTTAATTCACATGTGAGTCAGGTCATGTGGAAAACTGAAAATTTCTCCAAAATGACCAGACCAAATGTTGAGTTGAGTTTTTATTAAAGAAAAACAAGCTTCAGCTAGTTGAAAAGGACACATGGATCTTTTATATAAAATATTTAGACTATATATTCACAATTATACAAACTAAATATGAATACATAATGGTGTAAAGAGTAATTCCTGTTAAAAATCTCTTCAGTTTTTTACTTTTTTGACCCACATTTAGCCCTTTGAGTGCCAAAGTTTTTTCAACAAAAGATTCAAGTTTGTTATTACTTTTTCAAAAGGATGTAGTTTGAAATAATTACCGTCCCACTGTCTTCATGGGTGGCCCCAAGAGGAAAGTTGACCATTGAGCAGGATTGATGGTTTATCCCATGAGGTCCACGTGGCAGGGGGGAGGAGTGAGCACTACCTCAAGTATGTCCTTCCTTTGAATGTTATGCTCATTTTATCCAAGTAAAATAATGTTAAATGACTATGTGGCACACTGCGACTTCCAGCGCCTCGTGATTTTTATCTTGAAATGCGCTATAGAAATGATATTTTCTTCTTCTTCTTCCATATATAACACATCTGCCACTTTTTACGGCTTTTTTTTTTTTGCATTGCTGCTACGTCAGCCACATTAGCAGTGTTTTGCCATTATTTCTACATCCACCATGTCCCAAGCATGGTTAGACAAACTTCAAAACCAACATTTGGAGCTTGTAAGCTCCATATACCTTACTTTCGTGGAGCACCAGCTGCCTGTTGCTGTGTGCTGAAGCAGCATAAATCTTTCTGCCTGGATGAGTGAATTTCTTGATCAGAGAGTCAATAATCTGCTTCATAATCAGAGTCAGTCATAACCAGACAAAGAGATCAATCAACAAAGACCAGACCTGCCGGCAAAGTTTTATACCTCTAATATTCACCATCTTCGTGCTGTGCTCGTCTCCTCCTCTCGTCCTCTCATCCTTTCCCTGACCAAAAACCTCTCGGCAGAGTCTAAAAACTCCAAAACTTTCAATATAAACACACACATAAGTGTTGCTCAGTCTGAAGTAAAACATCTCCACTTTCTTCTGATGTAAAGTAACTTCATGAGGGATCATATTTGTAACTCTGGCTAAATGAAGTCAGTAATGCCACTTGTCGCAATGTTGTGTAATGTTGTGAAGGGCTAACAAATGTATTTGTCCACAACAATGTCAGAGGTCAAATACACAGTCGGGTGTCTAACAGCCTTCCTCTGCTAGGAATGTTGGGGCGACAGTGGCACAGAAGTTAAGTGCTCGCCCTGCAATCGGAAGGTTGCAGGTTCAAGCCTCGCTCAGTTTGTCGCTGTCATTGTGTGCTTGGGCAAGACACTCAACCCCTCTTGCCTGCCGGTGGTGGCTGAAAAGACCGGTGGCACCTGTGATTGGCAGCCTTGCCTCTGTCAGTGCGCCCCAGGACAGCTGTGGCTACAACGTAGCTCATCCCCACCAGCATGTGAATGTGTGTGTGAATGGGTGAATGACTGATTGTGATGTAAAGTGCCTTGGGGGGTTTCAGGACTCTAGAAGGCACTGTCTCAAACACAGGCCATTTCCCATTTTCTTCCCTATATTAAAACAATTCCATGCTTAAACACTCCTTACAGCAGCATCCAATAGTTAGCCATAACCAAATCCTCCTCTTGACTCATTTATCTGAACCACTACTCCAAGGACCATGCAGAAGACAAGGCTTTTACTCCTTACAAAATTATTTATTTCAATCTACAGGTTTACAATCATATTCTGTGAAGAAGAAGAAGAAGAAGAAGAAGAAGAAGAAGAAGAAGAAGAAGAAGAAGAAGAAGAAGAAGAAGAAGAAGAAGAAGAAGAAATGATCTTTACTATAGCGCCTCTCAAGATAAAAATCTCGAGGCGCTTCACAAAAACAAAAAATGTAAAAATATAAAATATAATTTAGAAAAATGATTAAAAATATTTTCTACATGAGCAGAAAATAGACAACTGTGATTAAAAATGTAAAGACAGAGAGAGAGAGTGAAAAGGAAAGAGGGAAATCAAAGGATCCTAAGGAAGGTGGAATAGGTAGGGAGAGCAGAACAAGGAGAGGGTGATGAAGGTCATACAAAAGCCAGCCTGAACAAATGAGTTTTCAGCTGCTTTTTAATGGAATCCACTAAGCCCACTGATCTCAGGCTCAGGTGGAGAGAGTTCCAGAGTCTGGGGGCCACAGCAGCAAATGATCTGTCACATTTGGTCTTTAGCCTGGTGCACTGCACGACCAGTAGGCTTTGATCACTGGACCTCAGGGACCTGCTGGGGATGTAGGGACTAAGAAGATCACCAATGTATGATGGTGCTTGTCCATGTAAGGCCCTACAGACCAGAACCAGGATCTTGATATGAAATCTCAAGTTGACTGACAATCAATGAAGCGGAGGAGAAACGGGGTGATGCGGGTGTGTTTGGAGGACTTGGTCAGAAGCCGAGCACTGGCATTCTGAACCACCTGTAGACGGTTAAGGGAGGTTTTGCTCTGACATGTGAAAAGAGTTACAATCATCTAAGCACGAGGACATGAAGGTGTGGATAACTGTCTCAAGTTCAGAGCGGGACAGAATGAGACTCAGCTTAGCAATGTTCCTGAGATGGAAGAAGGAAGAGCAAACAAGAGAACTGACATGAGAATCCAGGGTGAGAGCTGGGCCAAAGGTCACGCCAAGATTCCTGACGGAAGGTTTGGTGTGAGAAGCAAGCTGACCAAGAGAGTCTCTGACTTTGGGAACCAGCTTGTCTGGGGCCCAGATGAGGTGTGTGTGTGTGTGTGTGTGTGTGTGTGTGTGTGTGTGTGTGTGTGTGTGTGTGTGTGTGTGTGTGTGTGTGTGTGTGTGTGTGTGTGTGTGTGTGTGTGTGTGGTGTCAAACTGCAACGTCTTAGTCCAGGACAACAGAGGTGTTGTTTTGTGGTATCCTATAAACAAATGAGCATCATGCTGTCCTGCATAAGTAATGCAATGAAACAAACAAATTAGTTCACATTTTCTTCACTCTACCCTTGTAAATAGTTTTGTCCCTTACCCTGACAGTTTGGCTCTCTTTCTCTGCTTCTCTAGTTCTGGGTCAGCAGATCTACCAGGAAAGCCCCTCCACCATCTCCCCAGCCCAGAAAGCTCAACTGGGATGGCCCCAAGGATCAGGGTGTCCTCCTGGAAGGAAATATCATTTAAAATCCCAAATATTGTAATGAATACAACCCCACAGGAATTGTGTTGAATCATAGTAATCTATTTTTGTGTTATTGTCTACATTACAGTCTAAATATAAAAGTTGTGTTTATTAGTCTATTGCAGTTCAGCAAAGCTCCGATCCAATTCATCTTCTCTTTTGACTCATCTTTTCTTGACTGTGTTGTAACTACTCTTTTAGTTTTTAATTTCATCCTGAAAACATTTGCCAACTTACACATTTTCAAAATCAAACAGAGTCTTCCACCTAGTGGTCATGGGTAGAAACAACAGTGATGTGTTTCCTTTCTACTGTGATGTCATCCTTAGCTGTCATCAGTCCTTTGTGTAATGAGTTTAATTACATGTTATTTACTGAGCCATAAGACATGAGATTCCATAGTAAATATGAAATCAACCTTATGGATCTGTGGGTGCTTTTAACCAGAAGATTGGAACTTTTTATTGCAGAGATTATGTAACAACCAGAGGCGGAATGTAACAAATTACATTTACTCGCATTACTGTAATTGAGTAGCTTTCTTGTATATTTATACTTTTTAAGTCGTTTTTAAAATCTGTACTTTTACTTTTACTTGAGTAAGTTTTTAAAAAAGAATTGTAATTTGCTACATTTTAAATCATATCCGTTACTGAGTAAAAATAAATTGTAGGCTTAATAAATTAAAAATATTACGTTTTGCAGCGTCGGAACAAAAAGAGACACCTGCATGAGCACCTAAACATTATCATTGATAATGAGGACAAACAGCCATTTTTACCGCAGTTTCGCTCAAAAACATCAGTTCAGTCCCTGTGATCCACTCGCTGTTTACCTCCTCTCTCCCTCCTCTCCTGTGGGTTGGAACCCGCACCTTCGCGCACCGGTATTACGTCATCAGAATTCTGCTCGATTCGGTAACCAGACTCGGTTCCGTGTTTGAAATGTGTTTCTCTACCACTCCGCACGGAAGCGGCAAAATAACGTTTAGCGCTCATAACAAGCAGATTCTCAGCGCTCTGCTCATAAAACAGAAGACCTGCAGGCCTCTGTGAGTTAAAACATCCTGATACTGTTCAGGTGTAAACATTGTGCTCCATCCCTGTGTTTGAACTAAGAAGATGCTTCTTGATGCCACAGATATGTGATGATTTAGCCTGTTTCTTTATTTTACTCCAGAATAAGAGATGAAATTATTACTAAATAATTCAAAAGATTCTAACATGCTGCAGTGTGTGTGTGTGTGTGTGTGTGTGTGTGTGTGTGTGTGTGTGTGAGTGTGTGTGTGTGTGTGTGTGTGTGTGTGTGTGTGTGTGCGCGTGCGTGTGTGTGTGTAGGTATGCATGTCTCGGGACTTTAGGAATGTTGCGTGTGGCAGGTACGGTGTGTGTGTGTTTGTGAAGAATTGACTGGAGTCCGACGGGTGTGTATGGAGAGGGAAAGAAACAGGGCAGTTGTTGGGTTAAGGATAGATTTGGAAGATTTGGGGAAATGTAACCCTTTAGGTCTAAGGACGCGTATACGCATCTTTTGAACAGGTCTGATTTGGAACATTGTAGCAGCAAAACTCCTCCTCCCTGAGTTTCAGTTACAATTCAGCTTTAAAAATGTTTGGAATGATTTAAGGTCTAATATGCAACCCCTTTAGGTCCCAATAAAATATATAGTTATGAATTCATATAGCCCAGGATGTGCTGAAAAGGTTGATACCGAATAAGGCAGTTATTATGGTTTTTATTTTGGAAATACAAAGGAAAATTCTAAATTAGTCAAAAACGGCAAATTACACCCTTAACCCAGAGGGATGAGGTCCGGTCGATGAGCGTGGGAGAGTTAAAGAGCGGGTCAATTGAGCCTCGGAGTCCTTCTCCACCCACGTATCAATTTTAAAAAATGCAACATTAGTAGGCGTTGCCTGGAGGAGCGAGAGGGCGGAGCCGCGGCAGTGACGAAGACGATGGCTAACTAGACGAAGCTAGCTCCCTTCACTCTGAGCAGTTGATAGAAGTGGAGGACGTTTCTCCCCCTCCTTACAGACACTCGAGAAGAAAGGGACCAAGTCTATTTGGAGGAGACAAGCGGACCTGAGTCTTATTGTTTTGAGCTTGTGAGTTGCCTGAAACTCCCAGAACCGACCCAACAGAATCACCTCTGAAAGGTAAGTAGCCGTTAGCCATAGCATTGGATTAGCTGCAGGGTTTGTCTCCACGGCCCCAAAAAGCTAGTATTCAGCATGTTTTAGAGGTTTATCTGCTTCAGCACACCTGGTTTTAATCAGCAACAAATAGCTGAGCTGCTTAACAGCTAATCTAACCTGTTAAAGCAGGAAAATCCACTGAAACATGCTGGATAGCTCTCCGGTAGCCCTGGGCTCAAGGTACAGTCTGCTGCATATAAAGTTATGAAAATACCCCATGAGAAAATTATTCTGTAATGTGTTCAGCCCACTAAAACTGCCCTGATTTCTTTATTTATTTACTAATAACAGCTGCTCTCTCGGTTCTAGGTCCTCTGGTGTCTGCAGCTGGTCTCTGGTGTCTGCAGCTGGTCTCCTCTGCTGGTGTCCTCAGGATCAGGAACTTCCAGAAGAATGTGCCTTTCAATGACTCTTTCCCCCTTATTTGTTATATTAATTAAATAAATCTCAATTTATATATTTCCTGTTTTTGTTCATGTCCATAAATACTTAAACATGCTTGAAATTAGAACGAGCTTTTAACAGTGAGGTGCTAGTTTAATTAATCACAATAGCTAGTTAAACATGCAACAAAAATGTGATATTCAATGTAATTTATAAATATCCATTAAAATATCAAAACTGGAATCTAAATGAGATATTTGGCAGCACAAAAAACGTGTCAAACACAATATTTATTATAATAATTGTAGGCAGACAGGAGACAGAGCTGATGGAGGTTCTCAGTCATCGAAGGAAGGCTGAAGGCTTTCCAGGAACAGGAGATGTGGTGTTGTCTCTTCTCTCTCTATTCTGCCAGATGAGCTGATAGGTAACAGGTGTGTGAGGACATCCTCATGCTGTCATAACCAGATGACAGGAGTTATCAGGTGATCAGCCAGGCTAATGAGATGCAGAAAGAAAACAAATTCAGGACAGTGTACAATATGTGGTGTTGCTCACCTTATGTGCTCTTATAGAATATTAATGTGTGCATGCCTCATGGTGTAGTCCATATTTTGCTGAATGTCCTGCAATAATGCAGGTTATTAGTTAATTTACTTTTGATAGCAAAAACAAAATATTTAATGTAAAAGTTATTTTCCAGGAGAATCAGCTTACACGTCACCACCAAGTGTCACGGGCAGAATCAGTAGCCTCCGTCATGATGTAATCACATACTTATTTAATTGTTAATATCTTAAAAATTCTGAAATGTTTTAATTTTTTTTTTACCTTGAACAGTTCACTGAGCTTGCACTGTCACTGAGGTGGAAGCTGGAATCAATAGCAGACACCTCACACCTTGGTCTTTTCAGGGGGTCTGGACGCTCTGGGACCTTCTGGAAGATGAATTTTCATCATGGTCCCCGTGGGTCACCAGACACACTGCGGCTGTGAACTCCATTCTGGCTGGCTATGTAAAAACAAAGAAGCAGCACATTTATAAATGTTTAAAAGAGCATAAAATCACGTGTAAAAATAATCTGTAAAACAAATTAAAACTAGAAGGTGATAATAAAATGTTTGCATAGAAGATTATTAAAAATAATTCACCTTTGCTACAGGGAAGGTTTCACATCAGCCTGGACAAGTACATTCATGCAGCTAAATCAGTCTGACAGCCAGTGTCTTGGGTAGATTTAGCCTGAAAAAAAAAATAGAAGCACATTGTTGTTGGAGTTTATAGTCAGATAATATACAAAAGAATCTCCTATATAGGCGCTTTATAACATTCCTAGTGTGTGATCGTTGTTATAACGTAAAAGTCAGTCACATATGATGTGGAGAGCCTGAAATGCGACCTCCTGAACAGAATTCCTCACAGAACCGGGTCACAAGCTGGATTTCACGCTGTAATGCTGTCAACAAGTGCTGCGTCAGTTAGAGTCACTGTTGCAGAATTGCCGACTGACTAGCTAAAGGAAGTGAACCACGTCTCTCAGACTTTGCATTTAGGTAGGGAATTGTCTTTAGAAGATGTTAAAACGTTTATTTAGCTGACTCACCTCAGACTGGAGCCCGCCGTGGTGGGGGAGCAGAGTCGGTGGGCTGCATCTAAATCGCGGAAGAGCCACGGTGGGCACAGCCTCCCTCTTCAAACGGAGACGTGCAGAATCGCGGGTAAAATGCCCACAGAGTCACCGCAACCATACTACACTACACCTACTCACCAATACTAAGACGATATGGAACACTAAACCCGAAATACTTTCCCAATTACACTAACAGCCAAACACTAACTAAACTATAATATACAACAGCCAAGCTAACACTAAATAAGTATTTATAACACTAAAAGATATGCTAAAGACTAGGATATGCTAATGCTATATGCTAATGCTGAACTACCGCTGACCTCCTACACTCGCTTGCAAATCCAACTCCCACTCGCCACAGGGCGTGGCCGAGACGCTCGTTGCTTTTATAACTTTGGCACGGAGCTGCTACGTAGTACTCTACTGGTTTACGTAGTACTTTACTCTTTAGCCATTGGCTAAAATTTATTCAAAATGACTCAAATTCTATGTTTTCAGCTGAAGGTGGCGCATTACTGTGGTTTTTAGACAGAATTTTTAATTTTTAAAGAAAATGCACCAAAATGCTAAAATAAAGAATGCACACATTTAAAACACTATTAGACACTCATTTATACAGTTCATCAGCAAAAAAAAGTTAATTTAGACGTTACTTGCTCTTTAAAGTCCAATGAGCCACATTTCCACCTTCTGCCCCCAGAACAGGGGGAATTATAGAAACCCTCAGAGGTTTAGCCAAGTGCAGGTTAATCCACATCATGGCTGCGCCTGGTTATTACTTACCAAGTAATATCTTATCAATTGAATGAAGGCCCAAGGGCTATAAAATAAAATTAGAAGTCAAATGAAATTAAATTAAAAAATCAAAATGGTGGTCGAAAGGGAGTCTCCAAATTGTAGTTTTACCCTAAAATAAAAACAAATTAAAGGTTGAAAGAGCTCCTGTAACAAGCCAAAATAAAAGCGGCACAACTATTAATTATTTATTGCTCTTGTGACCCGAGTATTATATTTATTTATGGTGGATATTGGGTTTTTCTTTTTCCGTTTACTTTCTGGAAGTACTAATTTCCAAAACCTTCATATCCAGACAGGGAATTTCGGGTGGTGACAACCCAAAACCCGGGTATATATATGGCTCAGTAGTGCCGGTTTGCATCAAAACTACAGATGGGGTATTCCAAATTAGTGGTTGTCATCACTTGAATCTCTTCGATATTTGATACTCTGTTAAACTGTTTAGAAGTCTGAAGGGAATGTGAGATGTAGCCTTCTTTTTCTTATTGGTTTATGGTGGCCACCTTAAAATCTTCATTTGGTTTGTTTTTCCTTTCTTCGAGCGCCTCGAGGCCTGAAAGCCATAGGAATTGGATTTTTGTTTGGTATCCTGCCAAATGTCTCAGTTTGACTACCGTACAGATCCAGACTGCCAGGTCCTCGAACCCCTCTTTCGGTACAGGAGCCGATGAAACAGCGTCAGCTGTACGACAGACTAGTCTTTGGATTGTCTCCAGGCAAAAAGCGACAGTTGGTTGACAGCGTCAGATGGACCCGGAAGGTCAGTGAGTTCAGCTTTTATTCTGAAAGGAACCGTTGCAGCAGTTGGAACAGCAACAGGTTTTATCCAGCTTATCGTTAGTTCTTTTGGCTGAAGAGGAAAGTTATGGATTGGCCACTCCGACAACTTCTCTAGAACGCGTTGAACTGGTGTTAAAGATGACGTGGGCACAGCTTTATAATTCGGATGTTTTGATTTATGGTCGAATGAAAAGATGACAGATTTACCAAACACCACCAAAACCACGCCTCCGTCAGATCTGGCCGATTCTGATTGGATCAGTAAAAGCAATGTGTCATGTCTTAACGCTACATGTGATCAGTCTCTAGTGGAAACATTTAAAGTTATATTACTTATTACATTCTGTAGGATTATAATAAAGTAATTAATATTTTGATTTCACAGATCGGTCACATCTTATTTATTGACTAACACTTTGTTTGATTAGCTTGGTAAAAATAGAGTTCTTTGATTTATTAAAAGGAGAGAGTCCTTTCTTCATTCTTCTCTTGAGCAGGAAACGAAAACATTTTATAGCAAATGCATGAGACCTTGAGGCCATATCTCATGCAGATTAGTTCTGTGTCAGAGGAGAGGGGGAAAATGACGTTTAGGTGGAAACAGTCATTTCATTCTGTTACATTTGCATGACTTGGTCTGGATCCTAGAAAGCTGGATGAAAAGCTCTTACATGTTTGTCCCACAGGTTGCTCATTGGCGTTCACTGTGGGTAATAGCAGAAAAAACATCCAAACTACATTTGTAATTTAGGGGAAATGTATTTATGCCTTTTTTCCTTTGGTGCAGTAGTGTCCAGAAATCCAAAAACAATGTTTATCAACTGAACTAATAAATGAAAAACCGAGGAAATGAGCTAGCATTAGCCCCGCCTTCAGCGAGGTCACACTAGAAAACACGTCAGCAGAAGAGAGACGTGAGTTTATTAAGGACACTCGTGCACCAGAGCTGAGATGATCTGATTGAGGAGCACCAAGCCTCAGTGGTAAGGACACAGCATCACCATGGTAAAGCAGCACTGATGCAAACTCCACAGCTGGCTTGGCCTCTGCTCTGTGTTCCCGCTGAGCTCGAGCTCAATAAACGATTTTAAAGTTACACATCTGAAAATATGGACATTTATTGATTTTTGAATGACAACAGATCTACAGACATGGCTTGAAGAGTCACACTTTATTTACAAAAATACTGAGAACCAAACAGTTGAAGGCGAGCAAGAAGCAAGATGGCAAATGTGTTCAGTCGTTTTTCTTCTTACTGAACAGCAGCTAAAGACTCTGCGTTGCATGGATCAGGATGGGGCTGGGTAAATGCACGGTGTCGACACAGGTGCAGCCCCTACCCGTGCAGTTTGATTGACATGTGTTCCTGACGATTCGTTTGGTTTGTGAGCTGTAGCGGACTGAGTGTCTACTTTCTGCGGCGGGCGGCAGCTCCCTTCTTACTGCTGTTATTTGGAAGACAGAGAAAAGAACAAGCAAACATGTCAGAAATTTGGCTTTAAAGTGATTATTTTGGATGTGACAGTTGCAAAATCTGTGGACTGCTTCTCATCACATTTCTTATTTAGTGTTTTCTAAATCAAAACTGATGATATAATAATTCTTCTCTCAGATTTGAAAAGTCTGCATCTCTGCTACTTACAATTTACTGAGCTCCTCCACTCTCCTGCGCAGTCTTGTGACCTGGAGGAAAACAAAGTGTACATGAAACATAAACGCTGGATCAAAAACAAACAGACACACGTCGTTCATAGACCATTGAAAAGACCGGGATGACTGGAAGCCTGATTTTTCAAGTATCAGCCTGAACTCATCCCATCAGAAACAATAAAAAGCTATTTTTGAATTCAAACACTAAATTAATAGTTTACAAAAGACAAGACAAAAGTCCAGAGAGTGGAACAGGAAGTCTGGTAAAGGAGCTGTTTCCCTTTTAAGTTTAGTTTTGTGTCCCTACAGCTAAAACATTAGAGAAGTACTTAGAAAATGAACATCTAGGATTCCAATAGCAGTTCTTTTTAAAGTCTGAAACACATTTCCATCATTGGAAGGGTCATTTCAGAAGTAAACTTCAAATGGATTATTTTCATCAAAAATGTTTAAATAATTAATTAAATCAATTAGAAAATGCATCATGTCAAATAAACCAAATGTTTAAAATTTTCATGTTTTGTCACTGAATAAAATGAAAACCAACAAGAGCATGTTGTCCAGAAATATTTTATCTGATTAGATGTTTTCATATTATTTTGTCTTTTGCTCTCTGTTAAACATGCCAGTGCAGCTACTCAGAATGGGATTATTATTATTATTATTATTATTATTATTATTATTATTATTATTATTATTATTATTATTATTATTATTTGGATGCCTGATAAAACGTTTCTGTTTTACGTAAATATTTGTTTTGTACGAGAGATGTAATGAGAAAAAAAAAGATCCTCCGGTTTTCTAAATAAAATTCTCAGTTTAGTAACACACACTCAGGGGATTACAAGGAAAGTAATCTGTTACAGTGGATAAAATGACTAAAGCATCTTTGTTCCTTGCATTGTAAAATATCAAAAACCATAAAATGTTCAAAAGATAAGAAAATCCTGATTCAGTCATAAAAAGTTTGGCTCTGTAAGATATCTGAGCTATAGTTATCTAAAAGGGGGGGGGGGGGGGGGGGGGTTCCTATTAGACCTTATTGATCTCCTCTGTGATGCCAACAGTTTGAGCCCACTTCTTGACTAATTAGCGATGGGTACCGAATTCTGTACTTTTTAAGGTACCGACCGAGTTCCACAGTACCGACTGAGCACCAATTCACGTTTTTTGAAACGGTGCCTCTTTTCGGTACCCGTCCTTCATAATGAGAACTTGCCTAGACAGCTGTGCATGCGCAAGAACGTTATGTCGGTCGCTAAACAGAGCAGCATGGTAGAAAGAATGCACGCTAAAGCTTGGGTCCACTTCACTAAATGTGATGGGTAACTTGGTGATGATGAAACCAGCGACAACGATCTAAGTGAGACATCCTCATCTTAATCTGCTCCGGTAGGTAAATAAAATGTTTAAGATAAGATTAGCTTGATATGTTAGCTTCCGTTCCGCTAATGGTGCGTTCGCTTTCTCCTCGGAACTCCGAATTTCCGACTACAAGAACATGAACACGCTCTAAAGTTTGGCTTCACTTTACTAAAAGTGACGGGTGATTGGGTGAAGATGAAACCAGTCACAACGATCTAAGTGTGAGGCATCATCGTTTTAATCTGCGCCAGCAGCTAAATAAACTGTTTAAGTAACGTTAGCTTGATATTTTAGCTTCCATCACCACCATTGTTATCAGCTAATGGTGCATTTGCTTTCTCCTCGGAAATTCTAACTTCCCAGTAGGAAAAATCAAATGAAAAAGATGGCCAAAGGAATGAAGATACACAGTAAATTTAGTTCACAGTAAAGATGTTTGCTTCAGTTTAATTGTCAGCTTATAAAACTACAAGGACGATGTTTAAATACAAACAGTTGAATGTTATTTATCGTGATATTTATCAAATATTGTTATATATTGAGAAAAATATATATTTAATTATAAAGGAGAATTAAAATATTAAACACTCAAAAGTATCGCAAATTGGTACCGTTAAGTACCGGTATCGATTCCTAGGTACCGGGAATTAGTACCGGATCGATTCAAATGTCAAACATACCCATCCCCATGACTAATCCATACGTTCTGTTTTCCAGCTGCAACAGGGGCAGCAAACAGAAACTTGTAATCTTGGAATAACCATTTAGTCTTTTGCATTCAGCCCCTAATCCTCTGACTCAGTACGCGGTTGTGTTCTACACCTTCCCTTCACAGCTTTTGTTCTTTGGTTGCCAGTCTCACCTCATACTTCTGGAGCTTCAGCTTCTCCATGTGGTCAAACTTCTCGGACTCCAGCTGACGCATCCACTCATTAAGCTCATTGATCTTATCCCTGCAACACAAACAAAACACAATCAGTGAATTAGGTTTCTGAAATAGAACTGTTCGTTAAATCAGATCATTCAAATGCGTATTACAGCTGTGGTAATGTTTCTTTTTATAAAGTTTGTTTCTTGCCATGTTCCCCAGAGTTTGATAAGTGGGAAAAGGCATTTTGTAACAAGGCCGGTCATTCTCCTAATCCCATAGTAATCTGTTAGCTTTAGCTTAGCATAAACAATGTAAGTGAATGGTAACAGCTAGCATTTCATGTGAAAAAGTCATGAAAGTTACTCAACAATGGTCCCAATTATTATTTCATTGTGGTGCTGTGTTGAGACTTGCTTTTCAGAACCCAGATGTTCTCCGCGGTTGTCACTGGAGAAATTCCCAAGGCAGCAGCCATTGTCTTCTCGTTCAACATTAGATGGAATTCTGTGAATCACCGTGTTGCTGTGTATTTTCACAACCCTTTGCTACGCAGGCAAAAACCATTTCCTTTCATTAAAATTGTAACATACCCGATCTAACAACTTAGTGCAGCTCATGCATTTGTGTTTTAAAGGGTAAGTGTCTTTTGGGGCCGCTGCGTTGCGTCCTTGCACCTTGTAGCGGCGTCTCACAGCGGCGCTTTGTCGTACAGTAGTCTAAAGTCTAAATCTGCTTGTGTAATTTCTTCTACTCTTCGATTTTTGTCATTTACAGTTGATATGTTTAATAAGATCACCAAGAAGAATTCGGATCATTAATGAGTAATTTCATGACTTTTACACACATGATGCTAGCTGTCACTTACATTGTTTATGCTAAGCTAAAGCTAACTGCCAGAACAACTGGGCTGGTTACAACATGCTTTTTCCCACTTATATAATTCTAGGGAACATGGCCAAGACTAAATTTCACTTAGAGGTGGAACATCCCTTTAAAGGATATGAAAAAGTGCTGAATATCAGATCTGAAGCAAATGGAAGAAATGTAACATACTTCAGCTTGTCTTCACTCAGATGGTCGATGTTGAGGGGCTTGCGTCTGGCAGCCAGGATCTTCTTCTTCTTCTCTCTCTCAGTTTCTTTCTTCCCTCCTCTCTTCTGGTCAGCCTGTTAGGTTCCGACACATGCAGGTTCAGGTGTGTGTGCGTGTGTGTGTACGCGCGTGTGTTTCCGTGCATGCGTGTGTGCTGACCCTCTGCAGGTGGCTGCTGTAGTTGGAGCCCATGCTGGACAGAGCTGACTTCTTTTTGGCCTCCTCATCAGATTTCTTCTTGGCATCAGCCTCCTCCTTCATTCGCCTCTCTTCCTGAGTTTTAGAAGACACAACGAGCAGAGTGAGGCCTCACAGAACATCAATGGTATAAATGGCCACGGACATTAGTTTTAATGTTAAAAACAAAAACTAAAGAATACACACGATAGTAGTAAAAAATGAACATCTGCAATTTAAAAACTTAAAGACAACAGACCTCACGTCTGGCCTGACGCTCCTTCTCTTTCTCAGCACGAACCCTCTGCTGATCAGCTCTCTCGGCACGACGCTTCTCCTGCAGGACAGCAGAAACAAAAGGTTCTTTCCATGTAGCTCCCTGCACCACGCTTTCATCCTGTCATGTGGAAAAATCTCCAACTTCCAGGCAGATTGAAAACATGATAGTCGTCTTCTGGTGCACAGAATGAACTAAAAATACTTCAGGTTTTTCTACAAATGAAAAACGTTGTTGGGATCCAGCTAACTGGTGGCTGCTGGATGCCCAAAGTGAGATCATTTTACTGGCTGTTGGTGTCCTTCACAGCTGCAGTGAATACACTACAACCATAGGCGAGCAATGCATGCCTACATTAAACATTACTCTCTAAAACGTTTCTTTATTTGCATTCCAGTCACATGATTTAACACACAGATGTTTGCCCTAACTACTGGCTCGGTCCTGAGAAGCGTGCTGTTAGTTATAACAAATAACAACCAGAGAACCTTGTTTCTGAGATTTTGTCTGAAAAACTCACAATTCTCTCTTTGAGTGCGATCAGCTCCTCTTCCTCCTTTTTCCTGCACTCAAAATGAGCGTCAATCAGACCCTGCAGCTCCATCAGATCCTTGTTCTGACGTTTCTTCTGGATGTCCTGATCAGAAGGAAACCAGACAAGGAAGTTAACCAGAGTCAACGGAGAGACAGAGACATCCTGCTCCAGGCCCACTCACATCAAAGTCCACTTTCTCACCATCTGGGATCTTCGGAGCAGTGGGCCTGTGATTGGGTCAGAAGGTTGGACATGTCAGCTTTTTAAAAATCTCATCTATAAAATGTTGATGATCTCAGCTGGTAACTAGAAAACTTACTTGAATTTTGGCTTCTCCTCTGTAGGTTAAAACGAAAAGGGGATAAGTACATATTATGGGATTAAAAGGGAGCAGATGATTTCAGTTATCTCAGCTCTTATGAGGAAACTGTGAGGGTTGTGTTAAAGTGATGAGGAAAAAGATTAAATAATGAGCATGAATTATCGCTGACTGAGCAGTTAAAAACAGAACCAAACAGCTGAAATGGGTTCATCCATGTGCTCGAGCCTTGGAGGTGTTTATCTCTAAACATCCATAATGACCAGTCACTGTCCTTTGGCTTGACCCCATAACTATTTGGCACAAGCACAAAAACTTTATTTCCCAATTGATTGACTTTAAACCAGATTCTGGTGGCTCTGGGTCATGCACGCTTTGAGCCACATAGCAAGAGAGGGTTTGCTGTGCTGGGAAGCATGTTAGCAGCTTATATTCTTTCACCCTTTTTAAATATCCAATCGTACTTTTAGTTTGTCTTTTAACATATTAAAAAAGAATCGGGACGTGTTGTTTAATTAAATTTAGACAGAGCCAATTAGGCAGCGCACCTGGACAGACAGACTGAAGTGCAGGCCTCAGACCAGATGCTGTCACTCCCAAACAGAATAATACATTTTGGATTCATCAGAAGTCTCTGAATCAGTTACTTTCTCCTCAGTGGTCTCTGCATGCAGCAAGCAAAGAGACATGAGAGCACGAGCAGCAAGCTCTGAAACCTAAGAGCTGACTACATCCAGATCGGGACAGAAAAACATCTACTTCATGTTCATTGTGGATGGAAGTGTGTCTTCATAAAAGACCAACGCTGTAACTGCATCAGACATCATTTTAAAATGTGCAGTTTGCTATTTTATTTTTTGTTTTTGGTAGGAAAATCAGGATTAAATGAACCTTCTTTTGCTCTAGTCTACATAATTATGTCATCGTCATTATTACTGGGTTTCACTTATAACAAAAATGTTGTTTTTTTCAACGTTTCCAAAGGTTTTAAAGGTCTTAATGCTGTGAACAGTGGCGGGTTTCAGTTTGTTAAACTCTATTTCTCCAAACTGAGGCCATTCAGCAAGTATGAATCACATTAAACACAGAATCTCACTTTAACCTATTAAAATATTCTTCAATTGGACAAAATACACACCTCATATATATATATATATTCATAGCGCCTCTAAAGCTAAAATCAGAAGGCACTTCATTAGAGAATTTTCCTCTGAAAATGAAGGAAACAGCGGTTGTTTTGTGTAATTTATTTAGAAGTATGGACTGTTAGTTTGAAGAGCGAGTCTGATATCAGCAACATTACTTAGATCAGGATGAAATATTAAAACTTTAAAGAAGTTCGGTTAGACATTAACTTTGGAGTTTCACCTTAACTGTAAAGACTGAGACTTGTATGAATGTTGCAAAAGTAAGAATAAAATAAAACTACTTTCATGTTTCCCACCTCCAGTAAAGGAAATATTCCCATTTGGGAGAGAAAATGGCTTTTAGACCTAGACCTTTCTAATGAGTAGAAAGGGTTTTGCCTGAGGTCGTTTGTGTGCGTTTGCACAGCAGAGGTGAAGGGAAGGCAGCATTGTGACACGTGTTTAACAGGATTCAGTCAGGTCTGGCTGCTAACTTTAGTCTACGGAGCGCTTTAATGCCTGATGGTAAAGGATGATAGAATATTCCCCACCCCCCTCCTTGCCACATACCTTCAGGCTCAGCCTCAGGCTCTGGCTCTGGTTCTGGTTCTGGTTCTACCACAGGCTCTGGCTCTGGTTCTGGTTCTACCACTGCTTCTGGTTCTGGCTCTGGCTCAGGCTCAGGCTGTGGTTCTGGCTCTGGCTGTGCCTCAGGGGCCACCTCTACATCTTCTACTACCTCCTCTTGTACAACTTAACATGCAGGCAGTTGACAGTAGAGGGTAAAAGGAGAGGGGGATAGTGAACATTAATAGAAGCAGGGGAAAGGGGAAGAGGTGGATGAGGTGAGTAAATGGAAGGAGAGATGTGAGGAATGAGGTTTAAAATGCAGCAGTTTGGGGAAATCGCCACTAGATGGTGCCAAAGCAAAGGACACAGCGAGCAGTTGCAGACGCAAAAAGTCTGATGGATTTCTTAGAACACCTGCCCAGGAACCCCATGTCATCAGATAGAAGAGGCAAGAGTTTTGCGTGTTTCTTCTCTTGAGCCACAGATGGTGTTAAATGCATGCTGGAGGGATTTACAAATGTCTTACAAATTAGTACGGGTGGCATAAAGTTATCATCCAAAGTTCACTGGCTGTTTCTTACCATCATAATCTTCACGTGAAGCCGAGAAAGAAAGGAGCAGAAGAACATCATCAAAAGATCCCAGTTGTACCCAGTTTGATAGAACACAAATGCAAATGGTGGGTACACTCGGGATCCATGCTGGTTTACACAAAGCAGTCTGTTTGGGCTGACGGAGCAGCTATAAAACACTGTTCAGCTCCAAAGGACTGCTCAAACTGCAGGTAGTCATGCTGAGCGACCGTGCTCTTTGTGCCAACAGGTCAGTGGATCAACGGTGATTAAATCTGTCTAAGTTTGGAATTTGGGTTCACACAGCAAGTGTGAAGCTTTCCTGTCGGCAGCAACAATCGTACAGCAAGACTTGGGTATGTGTGCATTTCATTCAGAGAAGAGCCTTCACGGCACAGCGTGAATCTGGAGGAGTCAAGCCAAACCTGCAAACATACAAATGTGTCCAGTGCTAATGACTGTCTACAGGGGATGAAAGGTGAGTTATGTGGGATCCAGATTTAGCACCGGATTAAGCATGGGAGTCCCAACTGTACCTGAACCGGGGAGATGGGGCTACTTACCCTCAACCTGCTCACTGCAAAACAGAACACACACGAAGGGTCGGCATTAGCAAAGCGTCACTGCTGAGAACAGATGTTTGGCTCAACAACAGGTAGGAAAGAGTTTCAGACCGTTTCCCACAGACTTCCAGAATAAGCTCAAACATCTCCTGGCATTTATGTTTCTCTAGGCCTAAATTAGCATCATTAGTGGAGAACATCATGATGGCTGGAAATCTAGTGTCTGTAGAGTGGGGACGGAGATCTGAACGCAGGAGCGCCTCCTCCCATACAGAAAGCTATTAACCTTTTGTCTGTACGGAAGCATTAAAACCCATGAACACAAAGATGAGTGAACTTACACTTCTTCTGTGTCAGACATGGTGGAAGTGGACTTTGAAACCTGAAAAGCAAAGAAAAGAGAATAAAGAGGTTTAGGCTTTTTCTACGAGGGCGAGTCCAGCCTGTTTATTTACAGCTCAGGATTCATTTGCAGATGCCTTAAATATGCGCTGCTGGACCCACCCTGACCAAACCCACAGACATTTCTGTTTCTCACCTACTTAAAGGAAACACATGGCTCTATTTTAGAGTCATTTGAGATTGTGTCAATATCAGTGGAAATAAATCTGCTGATATGTAATAAAATGTAGCACATCCAAGCATCCTGGCCTTATAATTAGTGTCGGACTTCAGAAGGAAATGTGAGCTCCAGTCATGAATGTGCATCTCTCATGATAGGTGAGGAGACCAAACACAGATTTATGCCAACAGTCTGTTTTTAACTGCTGAGAGAGGAGTTAGATGTTGCTGCTGGGGTGGGGGTGGGGGGGGGGGGGTTCTCTATTTAGCATCAAATGGTTTTAGAGGTATGTCTCATCTGGATGTTAAACGTCCCCATGTTAAACATTTGAATCTGCCAAACACAGTTGACTAGTTGTGTTTAAAACTGAGCAGCAACAAACACACAGAACCTGATTTTAAGGATGTTTTGGAATCCGTCACTGAACTGTGTTGAGAAATGTTTGCCCATTAGTCTGATTAGAGTGAAAACCCTCCTGATCCTCCAGGAGACAGCTGCCCAGGGTCCAGATCCGGTTTCATGCTGAGGATTGGATTTCATCCCCTGTACTACTATCGTTCCCTTTAAGCGGCTGTTCTACTCTCACATGGTTCCTTCAATCATCTCCCTCGGCTGCCTGTCGACAGAGGCCACATTGCTGGAGAATTATAATAAGCTCAACAGGCAATCAGGAGGTTTAAAGCTCAGGTGCCTGGCCTCTTTTAATTTGATCTTTAAATCTTGAACTTGAGGTGTCTACATGATGAAGTGATGTTTGTTTGCAGAAGGAATGCTCTTCAAACTGTTCTTCACATCAAAGTGGAGTTTAAGACATTCCCCGTGTTTACCCACTAGCTTTGCAAGGGCTAATGTGTGCAACTGCCACGGCAATTTACAGCGATCAGCAATGTTCACCCCGAAAGCCAGGGAAGGACTTGCCAAGCTTTAATCGTTCTCGTGGTGTTACATAAATCCTTCATTTCATTCTCTGTCTCCTGAAGTGGACGTCTGCATCTTTAGGTGGATTGTGAATTCATCAGACCTCAGAGCAGACCCATACAGAAGCAAAGAGCAGCCACACATTTGCAGAGACACACCAGTAATCAACCACACTCTGCAGATGTTTCAGATGAACATCCCAGTGCTACAAATCCATAGCTCAGCCCCTCTTCTGGCACACAACAAACATTTGGTACCATGGCAAAAACACAGGATTTCCCACTGGGCCTAAAAATGAGGTTTAAACCCACATTTATAATTATTCAAGTCCTTCCTCTTTTATTGTGCCTGTGGGTCTGGCTGTCTTAATCTGATCAGTGTCAGGAACGTTGCTTTTAAGCCATTTCTTCCTTCATTCACACACTCATTTTTTCCCCTTCCTCCTTACCTCAGAAAAGCTGAACGAAGTGAGCTCCCTGCTGGCCGAGACAGGCTGTAAGGTTCTGCAAACGTACCTCGCTGATTATGTCTTTCTGTTATAGTGACATTTGATCCATTCGTGCTCCCTATTGGCCAAAGAGGGGGCTTGGAGGTGAGGCTGTCCTCGTGATGGGACAGGACCCCTGTTTTCAGATTCCCCCTCCCACCAGCAGCCACTCAATAAGGAGATGGAAGGCTCGAGTGTTTCGCAGGGAGCCTCAAGTTTGGTGAAGGCAACGGCCAGGGTGTCCACAGGATGCTATTCTGGGGATGCTACATTAGGCAAGCAAATTTCATCTGGGAGTTGGAAGGGAGCTTGACGTCAGGGAAGCATGGCAGGTGGTGTTTCCAGAGCCTCTGACACAGTAATTCATGCATAGCATGGCAAGAACCAGTTTGTTGGTGAAACTTAAAATTTGACACACTGAGTCATCTACTTGTTATTCAGTCAAAATATAAAAAAATGCAAAAACATAAAATCCCTAAACACATAAATTAATCATTTGGTGTGAGCGCAAATAGATTTATTAGCCAACATCGTTCCTCCATTGTTAAACTTGTTACCGTGTTTGATGACTAAAGTGCAGCTATAAGCTTGTGTTGCTAATGCTAACTAGTTTCAACGTGGTCTTCTCAATCACAAACTTTTAAATCAGATCTAAATGTCAACGATGCCCTCCCTTTCTCTGCTGCTGACCTGTCTCTGGTCTTATATCAGCTGAGCTCTTTACTGGGACAGAGGAGCGAACCACGATTTTCAGGAGCTGGCGGTGGGATCAAGGGAAAGAACAAATCAAAATGTTATGACAAAGTTTATCTGACTTACTTTCTCCTTTACTCTGCTTACTTTATAAAAACATTTTCAGCTTCAACATGAATGAGATGTGAAATTAGCAGCAGAAAGATACTTTCCCCTCATCTCAATAAGGAGATGGAAGGGTCGAGTGTTCCGGAGGGAGCGACTCTGCTGAACCGCAAAAGAAGGAAATGCTGCTGGATAGTTTAAGATCTCGTATCCCTGTACTGTCTGAGAACTTTCTCAGTCAGTTTGAAGATAAAGCATCCGTGCAAAACTCTGTACTCCAAGGCACCCTTGCTTGAGCTCCCTCTGCACCACGAACATCGACTTCTGGCTCTACTCCTGACCCGTTTTCATTTTGGTCAGCGGTTGTAGTACGTGGTCGTAGGAGGTTCCACTCTCATCCGCCAGTGGCGTGTCCAGATCTTTTAAAATGGGGTGGCCCAGGTGAGGCACTACTTTGTGCATGGGTGGCACAAATGGTTATGCATTTCTTTTTCTTTTTTTTTACCCCAAGCCTTTTGTGGACAATGAAAAGCCTATTTAAAGGGAATTCAGTGCGGTGGCACCTGGGGTGGCCAATCAGATTCCAAGGGTGGCATTTGCTACCCCAGGCCACTCCCTGGACACGCCCCTGTCATCTGCTGGGGGCTGGTGTCAGAAGCGAGCAAATCCTCATTGACTCCCATGTTAAAAATACCAATTTCACAGCAGAAATAAACATTTTTACAGCCTGGTACCAAAACATGTTTTTGGTTTAAATGATCTAGATTATACTCATGACAACTCTGAGGGGGGTGAATTTTTTTCTCACTCTTCTGTTTAAGTGTATTAAAAGACTAAAATTCTGTATAATTAATGAGCATCAGGCCCACGTGACCACAGAGCTAGCTCCGTGGAAAGGCCTCAGTCTGAGCCTCGGTCTGGCTTGGAAAGTGTTCTGGGATTTTGAGTCTCTGTGTTTGTGTATTCTTTTTGGATATTATTTGTGCAATTGTTGGACAAAATGACTTGCTGTGGCATTAATTGCACTAATAGAGTGTCCAAGAAGTCTCCACTTCATTTTTTCGGTATGGTTTTTTCAAAGAGTCCTACCACCATATTTCCTCCTCATCGCCCTTATGACCTGGAGATAAAACTCCTGCCCGGTTCTGTTCCACCACGGGGCCGCATGTACTCCCTGTCCCCAGCAGAGACTCAGGCCATGGATGCCTATATCACTGACGCTCTTCAACATGGGTTCATCCGCCCTTCCACCTCGCCAGGAGCCACGGGGTTCTTCTTCGTGAAGAAGAAGGGAGGGGGTCTTCAACCCTGCATTGATTATTGGGGTTTAAATAAGATCACGGTCCGAGATCGTCACCCCTTGCCTTTGATGACTACCACCCTGGACGTAGTGTCCCAGTCCATCATCTTCACCAAGTTGGATTTGCGCAGTGCTTACAATCTAGTCAGGATAAAGCAAGGCGATGAGTGGAAGACCGCCTTTATCACCCCGACAGGCCACTGGGAATACTTAGTGATACCTTTTGGCCTATGCAACAGCCCAGCAGTTTTCCAACGCCTGTTCATGGATGTCCTGAGGGACAAGTTGGGCAGATGGGTTTTCGTTTTTCTCAATGACATATTGATTTATTCCTGAACCCTGGAGGAGCACGTCACACACGTCCGAGCAGTCCTTTCCCGGTTGTTGGAAAACCAGCTCTACTGTAAGTTAGAGAAATGTGCTTTTCATCAGGAGACCATTTCCTTCCTGGGGTTCATTGTCTCATCTCAGGGGTTCTCAGTGGACCCCCAGAAAGTCCAGGCTGTGGCCCAGTGGCCAATACCCACTTCCCTGAAACAGCTTCAGAGCTTCCTGGCTTTCTCGAATTTCTATCACCGCTTTATACGCGATTTCAGCTCCATCGCGGCTCCTCTCACTGCCCTAACCAGATCGTCAAACCAGACCTGCCCATTCCGTCTAACTCCTGAGGCCACGCAGGCTTTCCGCACCCTGGTCCACCGCTTCACCACTGCTCCCATCCTCGTACATCCGGATCTAACAAGACCCTTTGTAGTGGAGGTGGATGCTTCTGAGGTGGGGGCAGGGGCGGTCCTATCCCAACGCGGTCCCGACTCTAAGCATCATCCCTGTGCCTACTTTTCCCGTAAATTATCTCCAACCCAAAGTAATTACGGGGTAGGCGACAGGGAGCTCCTGGCCATTAAATGGGCCTTGGAGGAATAGCAGCACTGGTTGTTGGGTATGCCGGACCCATTTACCATTTGGACGGACCACCAGAACCTCATCCACATCCAGAATGCTCGACAACTCAATCCCTGTCAAGCCCGCTGGGCACTGTTCTTTGAGTCATTTCACTTCCACCTGGCCTACCGCCCTGGTTCAAAGAATCTGAAGGCTGATGCCCTTTCCCGCCATTACACACAATCTGCACCCGTCAGGGAACCGCCACCCATTCTACCAGCCCAGAAGTTTCTTGCAGCTCTCCACTGGCCAGTAGAGGACGCCATCCGGGCTGCCTTGCCCACTGATCCCGTGCCTGCCGACGCGCCCTCCGACTGGCTTTATGTACCTTCCACCTGCCGCCCTGAAGCCCTGGCCTGGGGGCATGCATCCCGCCTGGCTGGTCACCAAGGGGAGACCCGAACCCTCCAGTTCCTACGACGTGCGCTATGGTGGCCCTCTATGGCCAAGGATGTCCAAGAATACGTGGCCGCCAGTCCCACTTGCGCCTGCTCCAAGACCCCAAACCAACCCCCAACTGGAGATCTACACCCTCTCCCAATTCTACACCGACCATGGTCCCACATCGGACTAGACTTTGTCACGGGGTTACCTCCTGTCAACCAGCTCGAGACCATCCTAACCATCGTGGACAGGTTCTCAAAGGCGGTCCACCTAGTGGCTCTTCCTGGCCTGCCCACAGCCAAGCAGACGGCCGAGATTCTCCTGGAGCAGGTTGTGCGCCTCCATGGGTTTCCCCAGGACATTGTCTTGGATCGGGGACCCCAGTTTATGTCAAGATTCTGGAAGACCTTCTGTTGGCTGGTTGGTGCCAGTAGTAGTCTCTCCTCTGGCTACCACCCCTAAACTAATGGGCAGACTGAGCGTGCAAATCAGCAACTTGGTTAGTACCTCCGCTGCTTTGCCTCCTCCCAACCAACTACTTGGCCCAAATACCTCTTGTGGGCGGAGATGTCCCACAATCTCCATGTCTCCTCAGCCACTGGTCTCTCCCCGTTTGAGTTATGTTACTGATACCAGCCCCCTCTCTTCATCCACCAGGACTGAGGTCCCCACTGCCCCGCCCCTTGTCTGGCGTTGCCGCCTCGCCTGGGTCCGTGCTCGGGTGGCCATCAAGTGAGCTAACACAGAATACTCTCGCCAGCACAAACGCTGCCACCGGACTGGGCCAACTTTTCAACCTGGCGACAAGGTATGGGTGTCTACCCGGAACATGCGCCTACCCGCTGGCTCCCGGAAGCTCGCTCCACGATTTTTGGGGCCCTACCCTGTGGAGAGGGTCATTAACCCAGTGGTGTATCGTATCCGCCTGCCCAGGCCTCTCAAAGTCCTTCCCGTCTTCCATGTGTCCCAGCTAAGACCAGTACAGACTTCTCTCCTCGCTCCTCCTCCAGATCCCGAGCCTCCGCCTCGAGGGGTTGGAGAAGATGGGCTTTTCACTGTGCGGTGCCTGCTGGACGCCCGTCGCCGTGGCAGAGGTTGGCAGTACCCAGTGGATTGGGCGGATTACAGCCCTGAGGAACGCTCCTGGGAGCCAACGAGTGCAATCATGGACCCCTCGCTCATCTCGGACTTCTGGGCCCGCCGCCCTGGGACTTCTGGGGCCGTCCCTCCAGTGGGGGGTCCTGTCACGCTGCCCCCTTCACAACCCTCGACATCCTCTGGGGGAGGACCACACACTCACTCAGGCCAACAGAACTCCACTACCCAGCATTCCCAGAGCCAGTCTTCCAGCACACATCACCCGCCACATCTACATAATGAAGTACAGCTCAACGCCAAACCACTCAGTCATCGTTCTAACCGAACTGTGCTCCAAGTTCCGACCAGATCAACCCGATCACTCAGCCCATTCTGACCAGATCAGCCCGTGCTACTCACCCTGCCGACTCAAAGTAAGTCTGCTTGTTACCTTTTGGAGCCGCCGTGCTCTCCAGTCATTATACAGTTTGACTCCTAGAACAAACCACGTGTCAATCTGCCCGGCGTCAGTCACTCCCCGCTTGGGTTTAAAAACACGCTACATCCCGAACTCTTGCTCCGGTTCAGCTCAGCTCAAGTCGGGCCTTACAATTGTAAAGTAATTTGTTACCTAGCAAAGTAACATTCACGTTACTCTGATGTTCTATAACACAG